ATTAGTGTGATTTTGTAGTTAAAAATGGAATTGGTATTACTGTACGTTCTAGCATCTAGACAGCACAGTAATACTCAATATGTGTTCGATGAATTGTCTCAGCAAGATAGAGGGTGCAGGGCTGCAGCCATGCCATCTTAAAGCTCTTATTCTTTCCAGGATTGCCCACTCAAACTCTCTTATCAACCTTTATAGGAAACGTAGGGATATGGTACGCCATAAGTTCTCTAGCACATTTGATTTTGTTGTGCTCTAATGTTTTGATTCAATTCATTGGAAATCATTCGTTCAAGAAGATTCCTTGCCATAACACAATGTCCTCCCACATATGGTTTCAAAATCTCATTTATTAGGATGCTATAAAGTTACGATTGTTACAGTTTCTATTTATTTGGAGGTTGTGATTATGATTAATGGCTATTTTTTAAATAATGTACATGTTATAAGTTTTAAACATTGCTCTATGATCTTATGATTCAAGTTAAGACCCTCGATTTAGGACTCTAATTGCATAAGTGAAATGATGTCCTCATAATTGAAGCATATGGTGGCTTTCCTTCAAGGGTTGCGGGAAATATTTTCTTGCAACTATTTCAGATTGTTCCACTGAGAAGGTAGAAAGTTGCACGATTGGGCCACTGAGAAGGTAGAAAGCTGCATCAGTCTGGTTTATTTTCAAGGTGGTTTCATCAGCGAGAATCAAATATCTGTCGTCTGATTTTCACTACTGGAGCTACACACCATATGGGATTTCTAAAAAAATACATTAAAACCTATGCATCGATCTCTTAACTGTCATCAGATGTCCCTCTTTCTGACCACCACAGGAGGTTGATTTTGTCCTAAGGGGTCCTAAGGGTCGACTGAGAGTGGCAATGGTTCTGCTATTCTCGAATTCCAGTTTCGTTTCACTCACCGCCTCTCTCACAAACGATGAAAAAGGTTGAGGCTCATAGAGGCCATTGAGGGGGCTGGCCTAGCAAGACCACTAGCTGCGACGAGTACAAGTGTACAATCACAAGTTTTCTTCCTTCAATGTGGCGGTAAGTGTTCAAATTTCAATGTGCTATTTATGTTGGAGTTGTGTCTTTAATATTTCATTTCTAATGAGTTTACTCAATGCTCAAGGTAGATGAGTTCAATTCTCAGGCCCTCTCAATGTTGAAAATAGCAAACATGCAAACAACATGCCCTTAAGCATGGCTAGAATCGAGCCTGTTAAATACTCATTAAGTTCAATAAATCTACAGTTTCATGTTCTCTATAACCTCACAGTATAATGTTCATTGTTTGGACAAGAAAAAGGACTTCTCTGCGCATAATCAACCGTACTTTGTTAACAATAGGTTAGTGAAGGTTTGATTTTGTTAGTTTTTGTATTGTTTCATTATTCACCAGTTGATTTTTTGTGGTGATAAAGTCATTTGTATTAATGTAGAACTGACGGGGTATTAATGTTTGTATTTCAGTGAACCTGAACTGAACTGACGGGGTGAGTTAATTTTTCCAAATTTGAAAGTGTCATATTTTTAAAATTCTTTTTCAAATTTCAATTAAATATATTTATTTTATCACATTTTTATATTTCAGTTTCTGATTGTTGGTAGCGAGCACTTTGTGGTCAATGGTACTGGTGCTAGTTTGGAATGGATTCTTATTACCTTGCCTCCAGTTTTACCATTCCGGAATTCTTTTCCAGGTATGCTGACTCCAGATTGTTATGAGCATAATTGAAAACCACCCGTCACTTGGTGGTACAATAATACTTATGCTTTACCCTATGGATTAAAAACTAAAAACTTTTATATTATTAGATACTTTTTGAATCCAATTTCCCTATTGACTATTAGCATTTTTAAAATACCATGGCCTCTTGGTATGAGGCACAGTACCTTTGTTAGTCTTAATGTGGTTGTGTTTTTCTTATATATTGGTGTTTTGCTTAATATGAATGACATACATAGTTATTAATGGCGAGGGGCGAGGGGCGGGCGAGAGGACCTTTTTTATGGCGAGAGGCGGGCGGTCAAATGGCGAACATATATACATACATATGTATGTGTGTATGTGTGTGTGTGTAAACTATGTTACTATATGTATGTATGTATAAACACATAATATTAATACTATATATATATATATATATATATATATATAATGGAGTAATATATATAGCAATAAATATTATGCATTGTATATTTTAAAGCCTTAAGGCAGTGATTGAGGCGAGAAAGGCGAGCTAGGCGAAGGCCTGAGGCAGTGATTGGGGCGAGAAAAGCGAGAAAGGCGACCGCCTTAGGCGCGCCTTAGGGATCTCGCCTCGCCTGGCTTCCTTGAGGCGCTAAGAGCTCGCCTGGTCGCCTGAGGCAGGCGAGCGCCTTTAATAACTATGATGACATAACTCTTCTATTTAATTCATGCAAATTTTCAATTTCTTTATTTCTAATAGCAATTTATATCATTGGCTTTCAGTCTAAAGTTGTATATAAGTGTCATCAAATGCTCATGAAGAATTCAGTCATAGCGGGATGCTTGAACAACGATCTCTGCTGACTTTTTGAAAGCCATATCCATAGGGTCATCTACAATTATGACGAGAAGCTTTTACAATGGAAGCAATGAAACTCTTAGCATTTTTGCAAATAAGGTACATTAGAAACCTATCATTCCTACAGTTCCATTGTTTATTGCATAGTGCATTTGCACTCACTCTCCATCTTTTGTTTTCATAGTGCATTCAACAATAGGAATCATGTCAATATTGGGCTTATTTGGCAATTATTAGCAAACTCTTAAGGTTTTTATTCGTTTGACTTTTGTGTGCCCATTAATTTTTCCACTCATGGCTATTAAAATTGCATATGAACTCCCTAGACATATGTAAAAGAACACGAAGTAAACTAGGCTTAATTATAAAAGTTCAAAGTTTACATTTTGAATACTCTTTTAAAGCAAGGGTTGGGTCTTTTGCTTGGGCATATTAATTCTCTACACACAAGGTTTGGCTAAAGTGTTGGTTTAACTTAGACTCTGATTTACTGGAGGGCTTTTAAAACAGGGATGCCCAAGAAGATGGCCAAGAAGCAAGTCAGTTTCCTAGACTATAAGATGACCCAGTAAGCTGTCCAGTGCCGCAATGGCCCTAGACTATACGTTCCATGTTATAAATATGAACCATATGTATATATAATGGTTGTTCTGATCAGGAGGATGCAGAAGACTAAGCAATTTCATGTTGATGGAGATGAAGAATCAAACTCATTTTAGTATTTACACAAAGTCTGGTTCATCGGCTAAATGCATTGGAAATGCATCGGCTAAACTCATTTTAGTATATACACAGAATCAGACCCTTTTTAATATTTTTCTTGCATTTGGATTATTACAATATTTTTTTGAGTTATTTCTTTATGGACTTTTACTATATTGCTTTGAGTTAACTCTTAATTACATTATTGCTTTGTGAAGATCATACTGCATTGTCATTAAGTCTAAGTTTCCTTTTACTGTTTTTTTGTTGTTGGATTTATGGTTACACATTAGAGCTAATGGCAATACCTTAAATAATGATGTCTTGAGATTATTTTATTACCGAATTTGTGGCTACACATTATGGGTAATGGCAATATCTTAGTTATTTTTGTCTTACTTACCTATTCATCCTAGAGAGTTTTGAAGCAAGTGAAAATTGACATTCTTTTTTGCTTTCTTTTTCAGCAAATTGGTTAGGGTACAATGCTACACTGACTTGGTATGTGAGTTTGTTTGGTAATAATGTTGCAATGTTATCTCCTTTGAGAATTTGCAATGATTGTAGTATTATTTATTAGTTTATTAGGATTTTGTTTTCTTGCTGCTTGGTCTTTTCCCTTGGTACTTTTTTAAAAAAAGTTTTAAATCCTTTGTTATGCTTTTATTCTCCTTTGAGGGGATTTGGTTTGACCCTCACTTCCTTTCATACTTTTTTCTCTTTACTAAAATTTTATTTTCTTATACACACATACATTAAGATATCATATTTAAAATGCTATAGAGCTTTGAATTTTATAGTTATATTTTACGTGAGATTATACGAGCCCCGGGGTAGAAAACTAGTGTGTGTATAAAAGCACATTCATCAAGTGTAAGTATTCTTCTGTGATGCTGATGAGGGAAACGGAGATAGATGTTAAATACAGTACTAGAGACTTGAGTTGCTTGATAAGCTTGAATGCCCTCGAGCCAATTCGGGTCGAGGAGCTAGCTAACTATGATTGCTAAATGAACCTTAATGTTCTAATTTTGATTGTGCATTTACTATCGACTTGCGAGTTTTAATTCAAATGTGCAGTTAGTTGCGTTATTGTGCTGCTAAGGTACACATGTAAAATATAGATTTTCTTACATATTTTTCATGAACTTATCTTGGATCTTCTTAATTTTACAAGTTTCATTATGCAAACTCATTTTATGGATGAAGATCTAGCAATTCAGCATGAAACTAATGACTACGAAAGAATTTCCTAACGAAATGTATATCCTCACAAGTTAAATGTTAATGACTAATGACCATGGAAGAATTTGCTTTCAAAATGTATATCCTCACGAGTTAATGTTAACAAGTATGACATTTGGTGATTAATAAGATTTGATGCATTCATGTGCACTAGGATTTGACATATGGACTTTTAGCAATTCAACAAGTTAAATATATAATGAGTAATCATTGCTGATTATACAACGAACACATTCTCAACAAATCCATTATTTTATCGTATGAAATATTGCTATTTAACAATTACAATATTAAATGTTTATGTATATTCCATAATTACTCATTTATAACATGGGGTTTCCATATTCAGTCCTCTATTATCAAATATTACCTCCATAGTCCTTTTTTAGGATATCTAATGATCCTTTTTTTGATCTTCTACCGTATTGGTGTTAATTTAAAGGCTAAAAGTACAATTTGACGTCAACATTATGTCCAGTGACGTGTTCTGATATTGGTTAAGCGGATAACACAAAAATAATGACTATGATTGTGGGCTAGGATTCTGACGAAAGATCACATTTGTAGACTATAATTATCGTAAAAAGCGACTGTTATTCATAAACGACGCAAATGGAACAATCTTTGGAATTGTGTATGACAAAAAAGATATATTATCATTGTAAAATTACACATTTAGCCCTTAAATTAACACCAACATGATAGAAGATCAAAAAAGGACTATTTGTGGAAAGGTACTCATAAAAGAAGGACCACTTGGATAATATTTGATAATAGAGGACTAAATAGGAAAATTCCCCTGTTATAAAATGTTGTAAAAGACCAATTATAGAATTTATTCATTTCTAAAACACTGAACCGTTCGAAATGATATATCTCTAATTTTTTTTAGTAGATGGGGCAATTGACCAAGCCCAGTCAATATGGGCTTCCGATTTCAAAATCTCTCTTCAAAGCCTAACATTCACCGCAGCTCCCTACCTCAGGGCTCAGGCTAATCTTTTTGCTCTGTGGAAGTGCTCAGATCCTCCACAGTATTGGCAGTTAGGGATGGAGCGTCGTGGATTGAAGCGGACATTGACGGACCTGCCAGCTCCTCGTTTCAACCCCTGGAAGAGAGCAGAGCCTCTTTCACTGCCTTGGGGTTTCTTCTTCTTCTTCTTCTTCTTCTTCTTCTTCTTCTTCTTCTTCTTCTTCTTCTTCTTTTCTTTGCTTTTATATCATCCTCACTCACTATGTTTGCTGAAACCGAACTAACTATGGTTGTCCAGATACACGGGACGAAAGACGGGATCACTTTGGAAGATTTGATCAATATGTTCAGGCTAACCAGGGGTTGGATTTTGTTACTAAATCTGCGGCCCTTCAGGCTTCCTCTTGTGTAGTATCTCTGATTTCGTTTTCTGGTCCCAACCACTTGTTCACTTGCTCTGGGATTGTAATCAAGTGTGATAATGTTGATGATGGTTTCTGTTATACGATACTAACTTCTGCCTCTTTACTTAGAGGTTCCTCCCACAAATCTGTCTTACCCGATGACTTAAAGGTTTTATTTCCAACTTATTCTCTAACTTTGTTTCTCATCTCATGAAACTCTTTTGTTACCTCACCCCGTAACTTTACATACAGGTGGATGTCTATCTATCTAATCGCAGCTTATGTCGAGCTGAAGTAGAGTCATATGATTTCCACTATAACGTCTGCTCTTTGTCATTCAAGTCTACTGCATGCCTTCAAATTGCTGTCATTGGAAATATTGATGGCTCCTCTATGGCTCCAATGCGCACTCATAGTTCTAGATCTTTCCAGCTTGTACCCCACCGTGAGACTGCAGTTGATCTTTCCTCTCAAATGGATGTGATTGCGTTAGGTCGATATCATGATCCACCATACCACATTATGGCTGCACCTGGCGTGCTCAGGTAAACATGTTTTTTTGTATTCTGTGATGTGTAGCCCATAATCTGTTTATGTAATTATCTAGTATGTTTAGCTCTGGATGATTCAAAGGTTAATGTGTTGATAATCTTACCTACCATGTGGGGTAGTGTTAGCCGAATAGCCGTGACGAAAATATGACGTCTTGCATTTAAAAATAAGCTATGTGGCTCTTAGTCGAGTACTATCCTTTTGTTTCTTGATAAATTTAAAGGATACATTAGCGTCTCATGACTACCTTTTGTCCTTATTGTGTGTTGCAGGCTCGAAGACAGTGGTTTAGATTGTGAAGACCTACTCATGACTAGTTGTCGAATTACAAAGGTGATGTTTTGTACTCTCTTTGTCCTATTTCACTTACCACGTTTTATCTAAATTTGTGAGGACTAATTCAAATTTGTGGGACAAATGTAGTGGGACAGTGGCAATATAGTATATCTCTTTGTTTTTAACCTTTTAGTCCTAATATGCATGCTAATAAGCCATTGGTTTCTTTTTTAATTGAGTAAAAGGATGTTTTCTCTTACGTATTGTATCATGAGATATTTGCCAAAGGGAACAAGAGTTCATGTTTATTTGGTAGGAGTTAGAGCCCAAATCGTCAATTAATGTCAGTTTATATGTGGATATTTTAGGTTGGATAAAAGATCAAAGAGTCCTATGAGTAAAGTAGGCCATGGAACATGCACAAGGATCAACATTGCTTATAGTTATTTCTTTTGTTATTCGTTGGGCATTTGCCATGGTTTTTTTTATGGTTTTGTGTTACAAGCATTTGTCATCATAGACATGTGTCGTCAAGTTTTTGTAAATAGGAGGATCTTGTAGGACACAAGTATATAATCTATCTCATGTGTGTGTTTTTTGCGTGACCTATGAATGTAGAGGTATGCATTCAATAACTGTGTTAGATCTTAGATGCTTTCTTTCAAAATCTTCTTGATTAAAGGTTGTTTAATATCTACAAACAATTGTCTCTTACAGCAATTTAACGTGCATCCTATAGAGAGAAGAGTTATTGGTTATGCGTCACTAGCTACTCCTCCCTCCATTTATTTTTAAGCATCCCATTATATTTTTCACCAATATTATGTCAATGAGAACAAATGGAGGAGAATGCAAGTTGTGAGATTCTGTGGGGGCACAAACACAGCATTACCCACTTATTGCACACTAGAAAAGGAAATGAGACACTTATCTGACACAACCCAAAAATAGTAGAGGGGACACTTAAAAGCAAAAGGATGGAGTACTAGGAGAGGTATTTGGCGTAAGCTTAGCTGTACAGAATAGGGCATTTTTAACATCATGATTTCTGTGAGAGTCTTGTTTATAAAATAATTGACTGACAAAAATTTTGGTTCCCAGAATGGCATTGGAGGACCAGTTATCAGCTACAGTGGATGTGTGATTGGAATAAGTTATTACAAGTCAGTGTTTACTCCTTTTTTGCCTATCAACATTGCTCTTAGATGTTTAGAGCATTTGCGCACATCCAGGTAAGCCCTGATATCTCTCATGTAATAATGCAAGGATGAGGAGTTGTCAACTTATGTGCTCTTACATTTATGGGAGTTGTTTCCATTTGGTCATCTAATAAAGTATGACTTCCAAAAAGTAAATTGACGTTAATCCAGAATAGCTCAAATTAAGTATGTTTCTTGAGTTGCAAAGGCATTTTTCAGTTTGTTGGAGGACTAAATGTGTATAATTTGCAATTGTCTGGCCCGGTTTCTATGGATAAAAATTAGTTTATTTATATTCGATGCCACAAGGAGCTGAATTAATTATTATGCGCATGTAATTTGTGTTTTTCCTTTCTACTTCCGAGTGGGGGTAAGGTCTCCGTGCACACATCTCCCTAGACCATACCTCCGTGGTTGTTGTTGGTGTTTTTGTATGTAATTTGTGTATTTGACCCTGATTTTTTCAGTAAAGTTCCTCGACCATGGCTTGGACTAAAATTATCTGACCTTCACACACTAAGATTGGGCGAGCTTGAAAAGATAAATCAGACCTTCCCTCAGCTTGTAGAAGGTGTTGTTGTCACAGAGGTTTGTGTTCTTGTTTCAGTTGTTTGAAAGTCATTTCTGAAAATGAAGCTAGACACTTTAGTTGTTGAATGCGATAGAAAGGGTTTTATTTTGTTTAAATACTACTGGGTTTGTGCTGTTGGAACATGATAACAATACTTTAGTCATTTGAGACTCAATACTTTTGATCCATTTAAAAAGGTAGGGTCAATATACTTCTCGGAAATAATCTCTTCTTTCTCACAGCTTTTTTGCTTTCCTTTCTCTTTATTTTGTCAATGTTTCCTGTGTGTATCTTTTTATCAGTTGTAATTGTTCAGCCACTTTGCTCTTTGATACTTGATCTTGTATAATTTCTTATAATGGCTGATGTTAACTAGGTGGAGCCAGAATCCCCTGCTTCTCATGCTGGATTGTGTAGGGGTGATGTCATAGTTCAGCTTGACAGAATGCCTGTTACGAGAACCCTCAAGGTATCTCTTTTAGCGCTGCTTTTGAAGGTTCAGCCTCTTAAGTTATGTATGCATTGTTCGTGTTGTCGTATCATCATATTGCATAGTTGTATCTTATGGTTGAATAAACTTGTGGTGGCAATGGATATTTGCTTATACATATATATTTATATTTCACATTATTTTCAAACAGTTTAAGGGTTTGGTGTTGGACAAGGCAAATGGGCCCCTGGAAGTGATTGTGAAGAGAGTGGGTTGTGAGACACCTTTGACACTGACCCTATCGCCTCAAAGGCCCAAAAGGCGGAATCGGTAAAATTCTTCTTGCGTATGAATGAAAGTGGTTCGATTTTAGAATGACATTAGCTGTGCATGGGAATGGTTTTTGATCTTACAAGTAGTAAAGGCTTTGTTTTATCATTATAGGTTTTTACTGAAGCATCATTATGCTTCTTCTTCTTCTAGGTATGCTGACAATCCTGGTAATCTGGTGTGGTATCTCTCATTTTCAGGTGGCCAATACCCAAGGAGTGGTTTGTTATCCGGCCTTGGAGATGAGATTGGTGTCGTCTTGTTTATATGTTTTATCAGCAAAGTAATTTAACAATTAACACCCAAGTCGTCTTGTTTATATGGTTGATGGTAACTCAAGACATGAACCTTTGGTCCCTCTAGTCTTGCCAAATAGCATGTCAAGCACGACTTGCAGTTCGATTGCTAGCGTGTATTTTTGTGTGACTTTTAGATTATGTGTCTTTGATATCTATAATAGCGAGTAATACTTTCTTCATTTCAATTCTTGAGAACCGCGACCATTGGTGTTCCGGTGTGTATTTAGTGCTCTATAACATTAGCTTAATTTAGTAACTTTTGTTAGACCATATGGTATGATTTTCCTTGATCCTTTGTTGTGAATTCAGTGTTATGTCTGTATTTTTCTTTCCATCCTTTCTATTAGAATATATAACCAGATTGAATGGCTTTTACCACTAATCTTGCTAAGTTTCCTGGTGTTTAACAAATTATTTACAACTTGAGAACTCAACTCATACCAATCTCAACTTATCACCTAAGGAATATACCCAACCTTTATAATATCAAACAATGTATAACTTATCACCTAAAGAATATACCCAACCTTTATAATATAAAACAATGTATATGGTACTCACCATCAACTTCTTAAGTTCAACATTTTTATTCTTTCTAATTAACCAATTTAAAGACTAATCGTGTTTAACATATGCACAAAATACACTCATTTTGGTTCAAAGTATTTGTTTAGTTTGATTTTTTTAACAAATTGAACGAATATACTTTTGAACGAAGTTAATATATTACTTCCTGTCCCAATTTATAGTGTTTGTTCACTATTTACAAGGCCAAACTTCATTTACTTCCTTTCTCTATTTTCGTTAGCAATTTTATAAAATAAAGTAATATTGTCACTACTAATTTTATTGATTTTTTGAGGTCGTATTTTAATATGTAATTTTTATTTTTTAACTTTATATAATTTGTCATATAAAATGATTTAAAAATAATTTTAGCCAAATATCATAAACCGAGATAGACACTATAAATTGGGACGAAGGAAGTAAAATGTTAGAGTTTGAGAAAGTCAAAATTTTAGACATTTAAGAAATAATGTAAAGTGATACTCCGTATAATTTCAAGAAAATTTACAATTAGGTGAAATTCTTATTAGGTTTATGAGAAAAACAAATTATGTTATTATATGAGATTTTAAAGAATAGAAAAGGACCGCTCTTGTTTAAACGGTTCGGTATCGGTATGGGATGAACTCCAAAACCATTCGGTACCATTCCGTTTTGAAACGTAACGGTACAATACCATACCCATGCTCAAACCGTGCCAAAAAAATTGAACGTACATTACTAAAGAATATTGAATTTAATCTATAAATATGTATAAAAAAGCACAAGAATGTTAAATAAAAGTATTGATCTCAAACTTAAACCAATCATAATCATAAATAAATAAAAGATAATGAGTCCAAAGTTAAAAAATAATTTTTTTTCCAATTCATATAATATCGGAATACAAATAACTACTCCCTCCGTCCTAAAACTTTCTTCCCAGTTTGACTTTTCTCCATTTTTAATTTTTGGTTTTGACTTCATATTTTACTCTCCTTAAAAAAGATTTTTTGCAAATTTTTTTTACAATAATTCAAAATATAGAGTTAGAAGATAATTGGTGTAAATACATGAGGGTATTAATGTCATTTGTTATCTTTTTTTCTAATGGGAAGGTAGTTTTAGGACGGAGAAAAAAGGGAAATGAGAAGAAAGTTTTAGGACGGAGGGAGTATAAAAAAATAATGTCAATAGTAATGATAAATATAATAACAACAATAATAATGAGAGAATTTAAAAATGAATAATAAAATACGAAGTACTCTATACACGGTAAGATAAAGTAGACATATACTCCATAATTATTTGAGATATGTACTCCGTATATAGCGTTGGTGGTTCGGTCCGTGATAATCAATTTTAAATATTTGTATCACGGTCTCGTCCCATTTTGTATCGATTCGGTTTCGATTCGTGATGAAAAAAATCAATCCCGTTTGAAAATACTATAAAAGTTCGGTACCATTAGGGTAAAAAGCTACGTAGTAGTTCCTTTTTTTGCCCACTCCTACTTCCCCTATCCGGAAGTCATTTTCTACTTGCTCTTCTTCGCTCAACTCTGTCGGTCATCTTCAGCCTCACGTCTCTCAACTTCTTCATCCGATCCGGCCTGTTCGATTTCTCTCGTCCTTGTTCTAGGTATGACTCATCTCTTTTCTCTCTTCTCTCTCCTTTCTAATTCTCGCCTCTCTAATTCTCTCTTCTCTATTCTTCTCGATTTCTCCTTTTTTTTTATTTTTTCAGAAAAATTAAGAATTTTATATTGATGATTTAATCTTCTATATTTTTTTTGCATAGTCTTGAATTGTAGAGTCGGGGAAAAATTATTAATTTTCATTGAATTTTTATTTTGTTCTTGTAGTTTTGAAAAAAATATAGCAAATTGGAAGAGAAATATTATTGTTAAAGAAGAGGGTGGAGTTAAGCCATAAGAGCAAATATGAAATTTATAGAACATAGGATTTTATATGTATTTAAATTGTTTTATATTTTTCCGAGGAGTCTGATTAATTATATAGAATATAGGATTTTATGTTTTTTTTGTATAATTCCTCATTGTATAATGTTGTATTTTTTTGTATAGGAATTGTGGTGATGTTTAATTTGCTGCAAATCTGCAATTGCTACTGTTGCTTCTTCTGAATCATTTTTAGATCAAGTTTGGTTCTTCATTTTTGTTTCCTCTTTATCAGGAAGTCATTTTCCACTTCCTCCTCTTCGCTCAACTCTGTCGGTCATCTTCCACCGCAAGTCTCTAAACTTCTT